TGTTAATCAGCTAGGAAGCTGAAAGCTATTGTATTGACAAGCTAGAGAGTTGGTGACAAAGGGACAGGAATAGACTAACCTGTCCACCCTTCAATAAAATTGGACCAACCGCTTGGACTCTTAACCCAAGCATATACATTTTGTACTACAACTAATGAAGATGTATACAACTACTTGAAATGAAAAGAGCTAAAACTATATTCCTAAAAACTATATATACAATATCCTGTTACATTATTATTTCTTGTAATGTACAATGATTATGAAGCATTGAATGTAGTCTGTGTAACATGTTCATGAATTACAATAATCATCATGTTGCCCATTACCATTTGTGTTAAACCCAAGAGTAATCTCGAGTATTGGTGATTAGTTTCATGCTAAGGGACTCTAATCAGTCTGCTGTGAGCCCGTAAACTCGAAACTGGTCACTAATACTCAAGATTACTCTTGGGTTTTGGCCCAAACCCTATCCTTATCCACTCTCTATCACTGAAGAGTAATGGCTGATATCACCCCATCTTCCTCCTTTAGCAACCCCGAAAGCTGCTCCATCACTACGTTGGTTCAAGTAGAATCGTCCACTAAAAGGAAGAGAGTTGAATTTGGAACAATACAGTCCAAATTAGCTGAGAACACTGCAGAAGCGGTGGAACTACCTTACAACCTAGTTGGGTCCTCTTAAACCTACAGAAATCTAATGAGCAAAATTGCTCGTAGTAACATGCAGCTGGAGTTCATTATTTCATGTTAAGAGAAACGTCTGATCCCGAAGTCTTTTAGACCATTTATCCAACACTGTCAAACCAACTACAATCAAGAGCTGGCCAAAACCAGAAGTTAATCTGTAAAATTGTGCGCCATAAAACTCATGGACACACATATCTCCCAACTACAATTGAACATATGTGAACTCAGAGACCAAGCAACCATGGCGAAAAACAAACTCCAAAAAGTTTATATTTCTACTTTGTATTTTTTTTTACCTACTGGCCGCCCACACATATCTCCAGTTTATTATGAGATCTACCCCGGAGCAATTCACCGCCTTAGCTTTGTTTGGGAAGTGACATCAACATCATTCTTATCACTAAATACGGAAATCCCCTTGTGCATGAGCTTGACATCAACAACCAATCAAAATGTCTTTTCTGTGTGTGCATTCGTTGAAGATAAACATTAAAAGATGCAGCCTCATCCGAGGAAGCCCTTGATGTATTTGAATGAATCACTGTACAGTTATAAATTATATTTTAGCTGGAAAAGATGTCTTCCTGCTTATTGAGATGAGGGAGGGAAAACCTTATGCTACAAGTATTTTGGGTTGTGTTTGCAATAGCAGGCAAAAGCTGAGACAAGAACAGGTGATATCGATGCTTGTTTAACTCATGAAGAAGCAGTTTGATTTGATTGGATGTCTATTTTTGGCATCAGGATTCAAACCCGGTTCAAAACGGGATAATCGAGGATGTAGTGATCTTGCCCACGAGTCTTCCTCAGCTGTAGACAGCAGTAGTCTATGTGTTGCTTTTATCAAGGTTTATTCATGTGTGACGTTATTATGTACACAGCTTTGAGATGTAACTGCTTTTATTTGATATAGGATTATCCAACATCAAAGATTTGTATAGTTTCTTATGTTGCTGTTAAACATGAAATATACAATTGTCCTCTCAGACTACAGCATTTGTTGTATGTTGGGTCAGTGACCCATTCAGCTACAGATAATGTATGTCCTAAGGATAATAGCATTGCGACAAGACTGCAATGTGAAGATGCATTAGAATAGTGGATTTATGAAATGTTATATGTTAACAAGTATACAACTAGAAAGTGAGCAAATTAATCAGGACGAGAATCTTGTCTACGCTGTTGGGAGTTGACTGAACACAGGGTCTTTGAGAGATAATCTTGTCTGCACAGTCTGCTGGTGGTATGTCTGCTTCAAAATGAGGCACTGTGTGTGAACATGTTGGCATGATATAGGTGAAAGGGACGAGTGAAAGTGATGCTGGTCTCAAACGTTTACAACTTTGGTGAAACCCAAGTGTGCGGGTATGGTGCTGACAAACCTAGAAACATAAGGTGAACCAGGATTCGACACAACTCTGGGCAGCGAACCTGCAAGAAATGTGCAATTGTGTAGGTATACACTAATCATAAACTCAAGGCTGAGTTGGTGTTTTATAGTGCTGGCCCACTGAGATACCAAACCACAGTTAAACAGAATACCCCACTCAGACACAGTATACAGACTCCGAGCTGACCAGTACGTATTTTAGCCCCTTAATGCTGAGCACCTGACAGGGTAACAAGTACCATCTTTTAACAGTCTTTTGATATGAAGCGGCCGGTGACCAAATCAAGACCTTCCATTCTCCAGACAGATTTATCCACTTGCCCATGAATGTGGTCATATATGTATTTATTTATTTATGTATTTATTATCCCCCGCCCAACAAAGTTGGTGGGGGATATAGAAACGGGCTCCTTCCGTCCGTCCCGTTTCCGGAGCATGAAACTTTGCAGGTCTGTCAAGTCCATGCTTAACAGGTGCCTTTTGCTATTTAGAAATTTTTATTTTTTACGTTTCCATGGCAACAAGATGGACTTAGGTTCTATGAGGGTAGGGTTCGTTTCCGGAGCATAACTCATAAACCGTTCAATATTTTTTCATCAAACTTTGCAGGTCTGTCAGGTACATGCTGAACTGGTGCCTTTTGCTATTTAGAAATTTTAGAAATGTTTATTTTTTACGTTTCCATGGCAACAAGATGGACTTAGGTTTCAAACTCTTGTTTTTTTTACAATTTCCATGACAAGTTCCACCTGGATTAACTAAGGTTAGGGTTTGTTTAGATTTAATTATGTCATAAATTCTGCAACAGCGGCGGGAGATATAGCCACATAAGTGGCAAACTCTTGTTTCTTAATTGTTTGTTGTTTAATGCTGCACTCATCAATATTCAAGCCATATGATGGCAGTCTGTAAATAATCAACTCTCGAGCATCGATCTATGCAATTGGGATACAATGACATGCATCAAACAAGTCAGAGAGTCTGACCACCCGATCACATGAGTCGCCTCTTATGACAAGCATAGTCGCCTGTTACAGCAAGCATGGGTTGATGAAGACCAATTCTACCCAGGATCTTCACGGGTCTGTATGTGTAATCATGATAATAAGCCACTTATTATCAGATACACACACATGACAGTGAAGCCAGTTTTGCCTTCAGATTTGTGGGTTTTATTGAGTATAATGTTGATCACCCCAAAGGGACAGACTCGATTATTTACAAACCGCCGTCACATAGCTTGAATATTGCTCAGTGTGGCGTTAAACAACAAACCAACCAACCAAAGGGACTACAATGTAAAAATAATACACATACCAACTTGTCCTATCAGAATGATCAGGAAGACTCATTCATATACAATGAATTCTAAAAATAGGAGCAATAACATTTTATTGATTTGCGGTTCTACAGGTTCAAAATAGTAGTAATTCATACTATTGGGAAATCATGATTATCATTTTGAGGGGATGGCAACAGCCACGTTCTTTGTGAGGAAAGCCAATTTTCTTTCATAAGTTAACAGATCCATTGACTATATTTGGGAAAGGGGTCCAAAGTTTGTACAATGTTGATAACTCCAAAGTCAATGGATGACTTTTCTACAAGTGGTGGACGAAAAGTTCCAAGGTTACCTATGATGGACTGCGTTGATGGGAGTTGGTTGATAACTTTTTTTCAACATAATCCTCTATGAGGTCCACACACTTCTACCATCAATGCTGGAGTGCCTGAATCCCACTGGTGGAGAAGGCTTCCTCCTGGTGGTGAAGAAGTCCTTCACAGCAGAAGTGACGTCATCATTTGCATAATGCTTGCCAGACAGTCATTTCTTCATGTTCGGGAAGAGGTTGAAATCTGAGGGTGCCAAATCTGGTGAATGTGGACGATGTTCAATGATTTTAGCAACAGGTGCATAGCAGCCATTGAGAGAGACTTGTGCACATATGTATTATCCTGGTGAAGCAACAAGCCTCTAGTTTGGTTTTCCCAATTGTTTAGCCTTGATATTCCTTCCTAGGCTCTGCAGACGAGCATGATAATTGCCATTACAAGTCTGACCCATCGGCTTTCGCAATGTAGTCCACCAGTAGGATTCCTCTGGAAGTGGAACCCCAGGAAACCGAAGCCAAGTCACCTTGCCAGCTGATGAAACAGTCTTTGTCATCTACTTCGTGGGAGGAGACATTATATGTTTGTACTGCTCTGACTGTTGCCTGTTTGTTCAGACGGTTGTTCTGGTTGTGGACCCAAGGCTCATACAGTTACAAATTGCTCAACTTCAGCTGAGTCTCCTTTGAAACAACGTAAATTCTTACGAGAGATGATGAACCTGGAGTGTTTCTGATCAAGAATCGGAAGCTGGGGAACTCTCTGTCACACCCAGTTTATTGCTGAGAATGTTTGAAACACTCCCTTTAGAGATACCTACTTTGTTGGCTATGCGACGTGCACTGATTCCCGGGTCATTCAATATCATACCACATATTTTATCTACATTTTCTTTTCTGGTGGCAGTTGAAGGTCTTCCTGATCTCGGATCGTCTTGGAGGCTCTCTCTTCCTCTCCTAAACTCCGCTGCCCACCTCTTAACAGTGGCAAAGGAAGGAGCATCGCTCCCTAAAGTTGACACCATGTCCGCATGTATGGCTGTTGGAGTTAGCCCTTTCAGATGAAGATATTTGATGACAGCTCGGTTGCCCATTTTGTCCATTTTGATCAGCAGAGAATACCTAGTCACTTTGATTCCTTCCAAAATATACTTCCTGGTTTTGTATTTCAAATTTAGCCTAAACCATGGAAAAGCGGCACCAGACTTGAGAGCGTACGACAATTAGATCTAGGCTCAGAACTTTTTAGCCACCCCTCGTATTCTTTGTAGTGAATATATATACGATATTGATTTGTCATCATACTCTGAGAATAAAAAAAGAATAGAGAGAACGAATACATTTTCGCAATCTCTGCAATACATGTATGTATATAAAAGTTTACACTATAATGTGACTGCACAGTAGTAAATGTAAACCTACAATACGAAACTACCACGCAGTTGTCGCTTCAACTAAACTCCAAACAGCGCATGCATCACTCAGTCATCTCTATAAAGATTACGCCAAGCTCCTCACAGCGATAGCCCGTTCGCGGAGCTCTCTTATGGGCTCTTATACATGTATATTACCGAGAGTGTAATGAAGGTATCACTCTGGCAAGGAGTTCGTTCCAACATTTGTTTACACACAGGATAATGTAACTAGTTTTCATACGAGTTTTATTTTGCTTGTTTGTCAAATCAAATATCGACGATGCCATGCAGAGTGACGTCCCTTTGTGTTGACACCATGTCAGAGCCACGACTGAAGAGATTTTATCTTTCCAGAGAAGAAACTGAACGGTTCATAAGTTTTTATTTATCCCAGGAATGCCTATGGAATGACCTACATGTCACCTATTCCAAACGGGACAATTACTAGCGGCGCAGCAGATGTCCTGCCACGGGAGAGAAATGACAGTCGAGTTCGGTCACACTGACCTAGCAGACGACAATGTGCGTTGTATTTACATGCAGGTTGTAGGTTTTCTCCACGAGTAATGAAATAACAATGAATAATTTTTGACAGTAATTTACAACCGGAAATAATTCCTTTACCCTCTTAATCTCTGACTATTTTGTGTTTCAGTGGAACAAGTTGCTGCAAAACTTGCCAGTCTACGGACTTACGTACGTATGGCCGTGAGCTACGTAAGATCACTCAGTCGGAGTGGAGCTGGAGTTGATGATGTTTACCATGGGAGATCTTCGTAGTCCTGGACCCCACCTTGAGATGGCATGTTCAGCAAAGACCTTCTGCTAACAATCTGGTAATAGTCAGTGATGTGGTTGTCTCCCTAAGTTATCATTTCAGGGTGCAGGCTAAAACGTCACCGATTTCACTGGTGAAATGGCACCTCATTTGGCGAAAACGGCTACTATCTCCCGGCAAAAATGGTACCTCTATTTTTAATAGCAATAATAAAACTTTAGTCAGTAGTATAGATGCTTCTGATTAGAAACTGACATGAAAGTTCATGGTACCAATCATCTCTTCTGTGATGGAATCTACGCATCTTAAAAAGGAGAAAGGGAAGTCTTCTTCAGTCAGGCAAATTTCTCTTTAACGGGCGACAGAAAGTCTGGTACCACAAACACGATGGCTCCACTGGTCACACGCAGTTGTCATATGATACAGCATGTTGATTTTTTCTGACATTCTTCTCGCATGCAACAAATTGAAAGGCCATTGTGAATAGTTGTGATCTGATTGTAAAGCCTCTTAAATACAGTTTCAGCTTGACATTGAGTTAATTTGAGTAAAGGTTCTTACAAGTTCAAAGCATATGATGTTTTCACAGTAAGTTTAGTTGCACCTCCCAATCATAGTTGGTGAGTAAATTGGAGTAGAGGCTAATTTCTAATGAAAACTTGTTTTAACATTTCACAATTATTTCTGTTTGGAAGTGACAATGTGAGTTTCATTTCAGTTATTTCAGTAAAAAATAATAATGCCATTTTCACAAGGCAGTATTACCTGTATGCAGGTTAAAACCGGCACCTCAGCAAAACGTCATCGATTTCATCTGGTGAAAGTTATGCTGCCGGTATTATTATATGCCTTGAAATTTTGCACCAAGGCTACGATTATAATACATCTATGTTGCTTATGGTTTTCTGTTTCTGAGCTTTGATTTATTTGAATAAATAGTGAAGGTAACCATACAAAGGCTGGTGTTTTGATGAAGTTTGGAGGGTTGTGTAGTTCCTTTATTTATATAATAATGATATAGTATGTATCAGGCCACATCCAGCTGGAAAAAGTCGATGCAATAACCCATCTTCCAGAGGCAAGTGAGTTAACGAACTAGGTTGGAGTTCCTGGGCTCGATCATAGCGCCACCAGTGGCTATTATGAGTTATGTCCCTTCTGTGTCTCTCTTATGGACCAATCAGATTCCACCTCTCGTATCACTTGCATTGGCTTCAAACAAAATTGCGGCGCCCATTCAAGACAATCTGATTGATAATCAAGATCTATATGGTGATAAAACGGGTCTCACTTCACGAAGTGCATCAAATCACGAGAGCACCTTGATTAAAAACATGAAAAGATTTGAAATATATGCGTTGACAACGATTTGGCGATGCTTTGCAAATCCTGTAATCGACCAAAATCTGCATCATTGTTTATCAACAGGATTTTGATTTCGTTGCGCCACCAGTGGCTATTATGAGTTATGTCCCTTCTGTGTCTCTCTTATGGACCAATCAGATTCCACCTCTCGTATCACTTGCATTGGCTTCAAACAAAATTGCGGCGCCCATTCAAGACAATCTGATTGATAATCAAGATCTATATGGTGATAAAACGGGTCTCACTTCACGAAGTGCATCAAATCACGAGAGCACCTTGATTAAAAACATGAAAAGATTTGAAATATATGCGTTGACAACGATTTGGCGATGCTTTGCAAATCCTGTAATCGACCAAAATCTGCATCATTGTTTATCAACAGGATTTTGATTTCGTTGCGCGATTTTGATTGGACTATGCACAGACTCGTTAGTCCAGCCCAAATGTAACTCCATAATAACAGCCTGGTTCAGCAAGGGTGGAACGGGACTTTTATAGTCAGTTATCTCTCTTGCCTCGAGAAGATGGCAATAACCTTTCTCGTGCACAAAGAACAGCCATCAATAGTCTCAAAATAACTCTGAAATTGTGATCAAGAAAGCTGACAAAGGATCAGCAGTTGTTATTCTCACCACCACTGATTACATAACAGAGGCTACACGTCAACTCAGTGACGCTAATTTAAAAAACAAACAAACTATGATCCCACCATGGATTTTGCTAACAAAATCACACAACTTCTCACCAAGATCTTCACCAAAGAAGACGGGATCGGGTGGTCAGGCTCGGTGACTTGGTTGATGCATGTTATAGGTCCCACTTGCGTGGATCGATGCTCATGTTGTCAATCACTGGATTGTTACGTCCAGACTCGATTATTTACAGACCGCCGTCATATAGCTGGAATATTGCTGAGTGCGGCGTTAAACATCAAACCAAAATCACCAAAGAAGAAATCACATATAAAATATTCAATGGACTGTTACGCAAGAACCCAAACTAGGTCGGTTCTACCTTCTGCCTATAATCCATAAAAGCCTAACACCTGGGAAAGTGCCAAGCCGCCCCATCATAAGCGGAAATGGCACCACCACTGAACTGATTAGCAGCTTCATTGATGAACACATAAAAGAGTTCGTTAAAAGTTATCACAGCCACATCAGGGACATCACCCACTTTATCAAGACCCTAGGCTACTTCAACCTCCCATCAAAAAGCTACATCATCCTTGTCACAGTGGACGTCACATTCCTTTACACCAATAAACCAAGAAGAGAAGGCCATCGTTCGGTAGCCCAGGCTATTAGACGATTCAAACCAAACTGGTCTATCAGCCCCACTAGTTTACTATCTTTACTACGACGTCCTACGTAAGAAAACTTCATTTCTAACAATGAACACTTTGTACAAATAGGAGGCACAGTCAATGGCACTAAACTAGCCCCATCCTACGCTAACATATTCATGGGAGAACTAGAAGAAAAACTCCACAGTAACAATCTAGTCAAGTATTATCTTAGAAGAGGATACCCTAAGAAAATCCTCATGGATAATAAACTGAGAGCAAATGCTAAAGAAAGAACAGACCTCTTGACATAAAAACAGACACCCTCCAAAGACACTAAACCAGTGATCTTTATTACAGATTACAACCCCACTGCACTCAACGTCAGCTCCATGATTAAAAACTCTTGGCACCTACTTAAGAGGTCAGATACCTGCACAGACACGTCCCGAGTCCCACACATCACAGCATATACAAAGAACCACACACTTAGAGACATCCTCGTGAAAGCAACAATTACATACCCACCACTCAAACCACAAATCAGTGACCGAACTGTCCCCATCCTAGATTACAAATGTCACAATCACGTAAAATCTGCATGAATATAAAGTCCGTTAACACATTCAGTAGCCATATAACAGGCAAAATATACAAATGCAAAATGCATTTCACCTGTAAAAGTAGAAACATAATCTATTTACTAAACTGCTCCAAATGTGTGAAACAATACGTAGGAGAAACGAAACGGAACGACACTTCTGCATAAGACTCAAAGAACACTTTGCCGATATCAACCACCAAAGGGAAAAACCTGTCACCAAACACTTTAATTCTATGGGACACTCCACCAGAGACCTACACTATCAAATCATAACAACAGCTAAAGACGGACACTGAGTCAGACCAGAGCACGGCTTGACGCCGACCCACTGAGCTTTAACATGTTAAATGGATTTTTTATATGAAAACTATCCACCCGCAAGGCTTGAACGACAAGATCTAATCCTGGAACTCCCCCCATCCCAAACCATTTACATTTCATTCAGATGAGGGAACCTATTCCAATTGCCTGGCAAGGGATTTAAGTGAAAGACCAGTTCCACCCTTGACGAACGAGACTGGAATTAAGGAGTTTTACTTTTGCTGGACTAACAAGTCTATGCATAGTTCAATCAAAATCGCGTAACGAAATCAACATCCGGTTCGAAAACTGCCGTGCAGATTTCGGTCGATTGCAGAATTTGCAATGCATGTATACCCTCAACAGATATTTTCATAACCTTTTCATGTTTTTAATCAAGGTGCTCGTGTGATTTGATGCACTTCGCGAAGTAAGACCCGTTTATTACAATACAGATCTTGATTATCGGTCAGATCGTCTTGACTGGGTGCCGCCATTTTGTTTGAAACAAATGCAAGTTATATTAGAGGTGGAATCTGATTGGTTAATAGGAGGGACATAGAAGGGACATAACTCGTACTAACTACAGGCGCTACTACTGCCACGATCGAGCCCAGAAATTCCAGCCCAGTTCGGCAAGGGTGGAAACTGGACTTTTGTAATTACAGTCAGTTAACTCCCTTGCCTCGGGAAGATGTTGCCTGCAGAGCAGCACCCATCACTAATGCTTGCACTGACACTGAGTGCACCACAGACTCCATTGACAGTGATTGCAGTCAAGAGGTTAGTGTTTTCCGAGTGACTAATTTGTAAATACTTATACATTTGTATATCTACATATAATATTAGTGGATATTCAAATGATGCATGTCAAGTAGAAAACTATAATTTGGCCTGGACAAAACAAAACTCTGACCTGAAATATGGGCCAGAGTATTTAAGCCAAACTTGGTTTTTTACAATACCGGTTTAACAAATAGATCAAAAGTGATTGAGTTTGATTTTCTTTGATGTACAATACAGACTGTGATCTACAATACAGACTGCATTTTCTGTATTTGCAGACCTCTTGCCATCTTGAGAGTGCAGGAAACATGTTGAAGAGACGAAAGTCTTATGTACAAAACCTTGAGTTTAATTGATAAAAAAAACAACAACAAAAAACAGGAAAAATATTAACCTTTGAAGTGATCCTGATTTACTGTTTGGACAGCAAGTTGGTTTGGGAATAACGAGAGTAGAAAACCTGAGAAGAAGACAAGAACTCAAATCAATTCAAACCCTAATTATGAGTATCAGTTTGAAAATGAGGCAAAGCAATTTTATTGTCAAATACTTACCTTGCATGTTCAGTAAGTAATTTTGTCTTTTGATTTATTAGCAGTCTGTCTCACAGCCCGATTCACACATCTTTAAGTTTGGCAAGTCTAGATTCAATATCAATCCGAAAGTTCTTCAAGGCTCCTTTCATACTAAATGATTTACTACTTCTCATGAAAATAAACATGAAAGCAAAATAATTCAGAGATCAAGCTTTAGTCTAATTGATTAGTTATAAGTTACATAAATATTTGATTTATGAACATTTTCAAAGGTCAAAATATAGAAATTATGTAAATCTTCCATAGATAATGTATATATAAACTTGTCAATTTTGGTGAAAATAGAATGAAAAACTGTGCTGTAAAAATTAGTTGTGTTACACAACAATAACATGGATTCGCATGGCAAAATGAACTTGTGGAAAGACTTTTGTTCTCAGACTGTATACTCGTACATAATTTCTAAATGCATTATCGCAATGAATAATTTGTCATTCAAAGACAGAGACCTTTTGACATGACGGCCTTCCCGCCAATGCGCGAAATCATCAGCGCTTCGGCTTGTACTGCGCAGCCTGTCCGGAAGCGAGCGAAAACGTGTGTTCACTGCTGTCACCGCAGTCGCCTTATTTCCCATACAAAGGTAGGATTTCAAAATATATCTTTATGCTCACGCTTTTCGTAACATTGTCAACATTATGACTGTGATTTGTTGATGCGATCAAGCATATCGTTGTTATTTTATTCGATTAAATGGTCGCGCCTTGTTGTTGTTCGTGTGAGCAAAATGGCGAACATGTAAAAATCGGGAAAAGTGCAGATTTTGATTTTCAATAACGGCCATTAAATACAAATAAAAGTCCTTGTTTACCAAGTTGTGCTCAAAGCAGATAAACCAGAAAATGGTTTGGTGGTATCAATAAATCTGTGGCAGTCGCGCTATTTCTGATTTTGACTGCAGAAATGGTACTAAATCTGACTTTTCCCGAAATAATTACACCACAACACTTTATTTTCGCATGCTTTCATACTAATGTTTTCCTATAAGCGGTACTGAAATATATATGTTTACATTCGTCACGATTTCCTCTTTTGCATGGTACCACACATATTTTGCTATGATCGGTAATAATTTTTTTATGACTTTCGGCACTAACCCACATTTTTGTCATATATCATGCATATTCAGAGTTTAGTGTACCCTAAAGTAGACGATATGACATGCCTTTTGTCTGTGATTTTGGTCCGAATGTATTTTTTAAAACATTCTACATTCTATTTGTCTATTATGTATTAATATCAGAATATTTTTTAAAGATCCACATTAACTTTTTGACGATTTGTTCAGCCATTTCATTGTAAGTCTAACTTTTAAAACTATTACCGTATTCGACGTAATAAGCACCCAGGGCGCTCTCAAAATTAGAAATAGGGGGATCTTTATCATGTTTATAGAATATTATTTTGGTGAGAAAAAAACAGTTGAAAGATAAATTTCGTGGTTTATGCTGACAGGCTGAAATGTGTATGTACGACAGATATATTTTTATTCCAGAATTTAAATTCCCATAATTAAGGGTGCATATAACCATGATAACACACGAGAGCATATTATACGCGAAAACAAAGTCTTGTGTACATTGATCAATCGGAATGGGTGCCAATTGGGATTGTTCACTAGCCAATATATTAGCAAATATGGCCGTGGGCACTTATTAGAACAGGGCACTTATTATGTCGCATACGGTTACTTTTTTCACTTTAATGGGTCTCTTTAACCAAACCTGCTGAAGAAAACTTTAGATATTTGGGCAGCGATTATATTTTTATTTAGATATAGTATTTATTTAATTTTTGTTTTATTAAAATATTCTATATATCATGTATATAGTTTCATTTGTTTTCTTTGTATCTAATATATAGTTGAGTTTGAAATTATCATTTGTTTTGTAGATGCCAAGAAAAAAGAAGACTTGTATTGGTAGTCGTCGGAAAGGCTACTCCAAGAGAGGTCCGAGACAACAAGGTGTTAGTTCATCCTTTCTACTTGACCATAGCTATTCATCAGTTAAATCAACGGTGCTTGACGATTACAGGTAAGTCATACAGTTCTTTCAACTAGTGTTGCACACCAAAGTAGGGATATCACTGAGTATCACGATTAATGATATATCGGGAGTAATGGTATGTTGGTTATGTATCAATACAGATTTTTATATATCAAAGTACCCAGTACTGGCTGAAGAGCACATTTTTGCGCCTTGGACGCAAAAATATGAGTTCGAACCCACCTGCATAATATGTGTGGGTCTACTGCAGTGTCCAACCCAGAATTGAAAATCAAGGGGTGACTTGTCCCCCCATCATGTAGAAAATAGGGGGGATTTTGAAAAAGTAGGGGGGAATAACTGCTTTCTTCAAAAATGTCTTATTTTGTATTATGTACTGGAACATCATCATATAAAAGTGTAACAGCTCAGAATAAAGAACTGAAATGAATAACAATGCTTTGTGATTTTTTCTATCAGAAGTAATTACAGTGATTGTGGTTTCATCATTGTCTTTTTTAGAACATCTTTTTTGATTAAAAAAGTCTGTATTTTTTTTGTTTTTGCGCGACATTTTCACTATTCAAAAGATCGTCTGCAATGACAGTCGGTTCATATCGTGTGATTTCAGAAACGAAACTTAAACGAACTAAAATGCTCAAAAATATTTTCAGAACTATTCAAGATAGAATATTTATTGTCTTTTAACATCTTGTCAAAGGTTTTTGATTACTAAACAACAAAATACAACATAATTTTGATCAAAGTTTTGATACGCTTTCTACTAAAGTAAATTAAATTTCGTTTCCTATTCAAATCCTGTCGATAATTTATTCAGGAACCCAAGGGACGTAACTCGTAATCAAACTTCCGGTTATTATCGATCGGTCTTCGACAGTTGTCTACAATGTTTGCTGTGAACTGTCTTTCTTCGTTAATTGATTAAAGATTTAGTGAGTATTGAATCTAAAGGTAGGGATAAACAGCTGATAAAGTAAGTGACTGTGCAAGAAATTACTGTGCGCGACAGATCGCGCATTGAGTTTTTTATGAGGGGCGATTTGATTTTTTTTAGCGTGAATCGCGCAATCGCGCGGTCTGGGTTGGACACTGCTACTGGACGCAGTGACTGGATCATTATTAATTTCGGAATTTCATATCAAATGGCCACTGTTATTGTAAATCAAAGGCATACATCTTTGCGTAAAGGTATTTATTGCCAAACAAGACGGCGAAACATGTTGATTAATACTTCCGTTTGCTAAATCAAACCAGTTTCATTATCCTCTCCCTTACGACAAATGCCCAAACCGGTCTCTTGACCTATATCTTTTTCGGTTTTGCATTTTTTAATGTTGGCTATGGTCCGTAGGTTTGCTTCAGCCAATCAGGTGCCGCATATTCAGCTGCTCGGATACGTTCGTAATTCTTTTAGCTTGTTGATTGGCTGAAAGCATCACGACCTCGTGTCAAACTAAAAATAGCCAGGCACATCCGTGTGATCAAGTGACCGTGTTGGGTGGTACGCTATATTATCATGGTAGTTAATTTATAACAGATCGTAATGGCGCACGCTTACAAACTTATTAAATATGGCATATGCAAAATGTGTGTTGTTCTTTGCTCAACTTTTATGACACATAAATTAGGATTGACCGAAGCTCATTTTCTTTGCCTAGTTCGGTAAACAAAGTACCTGTCATTGGTGATTCTTACCGCACTAAGGCTGTGTGAATTATATGGTTTACATCACTTCCTGTTTTGTATTTTGCATAATCTGTATGCATACGACCGAGGTTGGGTCAAGGGACTTCGTCTAAACAAATGGGTTCTTTTCTAATCAATTGCGAATGGAGGTGGGGATAATATCACGTTAAAAACGTCCCAGAAACTTTCATAAAAAAGTTAACGTGTTTATACTTGCAAGTAACCATGACATAGCGCAACGAGTCCTGTATTCGATCATGCGATGAAATCTATTGTGCTAAGATTTGCATAAGTAAACAGTCGACAGGGTGTGTGGATCATGAGATTTACCGATACCACAATACTGTATATGATAAAGAATAAATGTGAACACTTGAATGTTAGCGTTGTTTTTATCTATGAATATTTAGTTATTCTACAACAGACTTATCCAGCTGTTTATAACTCATTCTTTGGTGAGTTACATTAAGAAATGCAAAACACCTTTTGCCAGAACAGTTATCAGTGTAACTGACATGTTAAAACATTTAAAGCCCCTGAAATATGTTGACTAGATTTATCAAGGAAATGCTGGATGCTGAACACACTCTTACAAAAATGTTTGATATGCCAGTTATGTCATGACTCATTGATGTAATTGTCACAGTTACGACATGAACTCACTACTCAGTACAGTAGCATCAGAACAGCGATTCAACTGGACTGAATCCACAAACTTCAAATCATTGGTAGATCCAGATGAAAACCTTCACAAATGTCTGTCCCAATGACCTTTTACCATTGGCTGATAACCCATGTACTGCCTTTTCATTTACTAAATTAGACATTAACATGGATAATTTTTTATTAATTAATTTTAATATTCATTAATATCAAATTTCTATTTTAGGGAATTGATTGTCCCTCAATAAACCTCTTGGTCATGAGAGCAGGATGTGTCCTGATGTGAACCTTTCTCTCACTTTGCCTGTTTGTTGATATTTTGCAGTTGCAAAAAGGTTTCTGATTTTTCACAACCACTGTGTTCTGTTGTTTATGTTATATTATAATGCTACAAATTGGACCCCTCCATTGTTTGGGGCCCCTAATTTTAAAATGAAGGGGTCCAAGTGACCCCAAGTAAATTTAAGCCAGAGCAGACACTGAGTACCTAAAATAAATAATTGATAAATATCAAAGCACATGAATTATTGACAAGAATGAAAACTTTCCTTATCCAAAGAATGTTTTATGTGATACTGTTCAGTACAATTCCATCGTGAGTTTTAGCAGGTCGACTTTTGTATGATTTTGTTTGGTTTGTTTGTTGTTTAACGCCGCACTCAGCAATATTCCAGCTATATGACAGCGTTCTGTAAATAATCGAGTCTGGACCAGACAATCCAGTGACTGATATCATGAGCATCATTCCGTGCAATTGGTCAGCGAGTCTGACATACGATCCCGTTAGTCGCCTCTTACGACAAGCATAGTTGTCTTTTATGGAAAGCATGGGTTGCTGAAGACCTATTCTACTCCTGATCTTCAGGGTTCAATTTTGTATGAAAGAGCCTTTATAATAACCAACTATTAAATATTTTTGGCAACCTTCACTCTGTTTAAATTTTTTTTACTAATGTCTATTTCTTTTTTCAGTTCAAGAGATGTGCTGTGGGATAAAGCATGGAAATCCTTCTTCACTGACATCTGTGATGAACCCATTGACATACCCTACGTGGGAGAAACAATGGATTCTGATGGTTGCTCGGCCAATGAATTCTTTGTCATTCTGGACAGAGTACACAAGTATCATCCTGATAATGACTTGGATAATTTTGTTGATGCCATACTGCAGTGCCGAAAGTACCAACTGTACTTATCATTGAAAGAGGAACTATTCAAGCATGCTGATGAGCTTGGCGAATTTACCATTTTGAGAAACAAGCGAGAGGAAGTGAACTTGGTGCAGTGTTATGATGGTGATGTTGCAGCGGTTCAGCTTTCAGTGGTCATTAAGCCATCTTATGAAGCAACAGTTTATGCTCATCGACATGATATTGGTCATGATCATGAATTGTGGATTGGTTTGCCAAAATACTTCTCAACTGTAAGAGATGTTAAGCAACTTTTGTCAAAACTGTCTACTTACCATGTTTGTTTGGGGAATTACGAGGACAGGTTTGCTCACTTGATACCATTTAGTGCAGGCGTTTGTAAAGGAGCTACTTCAACTATATCTGCATACCGAGAAGGAGACTTTGGTGCCAACATAGATGGAATAGCGTATAGTTCTACAATCCGTTCATTGATGTGTCAGTTTCTGATTTCACGGAGAGAGAGATGTGGTCCTTGCTGCAGATACAGAGCCACACTCCGAGCTAATGCCAGAAGAGAGAGTCTCTCCTCAAAAACCCCTAACCTAACTTCATTTACTCATACTACCCACAAGAACATGTCAAAGATGGAAGTCATCCAGAAGTATGAACTGATGAAAAGCAGCCGTAATTCCATTCTGTCTGAAATGGAGCGTTTGAAGAAAACAATCAGCCAGACAATTTCACAGAAAGGTCCTACGCTAAGTGTTTCGAGAGACTCAGAATTTCAGCAACTATTGAAGGACAACCAAGATGAAGTAGTGCACAATTATCCTGATCTACCTTGACATCTATTCAGGGACATTTTTAGGAGCAGCAAATGAAATACAACAAAATAAAAGACCAATCTCATTAAAATCATATCTTAGTTCTCGCTACCGCTAAGCAAAGATCTGAGGACATCCCATTACAGGTCACGTCAGACCGACCTTTCATCCGACCAATCAGAGCGTCGCTTACCAGGTTGGAATGTGACCAATGGAATGACCAATCAGAAGGCAGCTTTCTCGTGCTTTACGGCACTAATTTCAAATTGGCGACTATGCTTCAAAACATTTTTTGACAAATTCTTGATTACAAATTTGAAACCTGAACTAAAAAAAACGTTCTGGAATGGCTAATAGATGGTCTAGATTGTTAGGATTTAGTCGTCAAACCCGTAACTATCGTTCAGAATAACCAATGTTAAAGTTTTCGAGGTTGCATGATTAGAAATCACATTCCAATTGTCACTTTCATAATCTGGTAAGCGACGCTCTGATTGGTCGGATGAAAGGTCGTTTTGATGTGACCCCTGATGGGATGTCTTCAGATCTTTGTTTAGCGGTAGCGAGAACTAAGGTCTGATTTTAATGAGATTGAAAAAGACAAGTGTGCAATGCGATGGCATCCGACGGTAATCAGATGGTGTCCTTACATGCATAGTAGGAGTCAGAAGGCCTATGAAGTAGCTGGAAAATCTGGATTCTCGCTTTACCGAAATCATATGATTATTGACATGCCCTTCCAAGATCACTTGGCTTACATCCCATTTACATTTCACATAAGTTACTTCATCGATCACATGTTTACAGCCATATCCCACTGCTAGTCAACTTGATCTTCTGTCATAACATAATCAGCCAGCCCGTCTTGTACTTCCCTTGCATTGCTTGCATTTCTGTTCCCACCCTGCTGCAGCAGACCTCGGACCACACCTTGATCAATAGCTGCATCATTCCGAGTGTTATAGATGAGATCAGAGTAAGACAGTAATGTGAAGCAATCCTTGCCAAGACAACTGAACTGGCAACTCCTGGTGATACTGGTACAGATTTTTGAAATGTCCAGATTCTGCTGACCAGAATACCAAATGCATTTTCAGATACTCTCCTTGCCCTTGATAGCCTTAATTAAAGATTCTTTTCTCGTAAGATAAATCCCACAAGGCATAAGGCTTGATCAAGTGGGGCTCTAGTTGGAAGGCGTCATCCCCCTCAACAACACTAAGCACTAATCATGCTAATTCATGACGGCCCTCCAAGGTGGTGGGTTCCGGAATGTTTAAGGTGTTATGCGCTAGTGCAAGGGAAAGCTCAGAATTAGCATTAACAGCTGCATAATTATCATAATCTGACTCTTGCTTAATTCATTGAATCATTTAAAGTACAAAATTGAGAACATAAGAAAGAGACAAGAACTGAAATTTTGGCATTGATTTTTGAATATGTCTAAAAATGAGGCTTTAATATTTGATTATTTGCAGCATGTGATAAATGCTTTATGACATGTCTATTATTGAGTATATTCTTTGGAAGTCTGTTGAGTCTTTCACAGAAATGAGTCTATTATTATTATTATTGTTTTACAATGTTAATATAATTATTTCCCCAAAATTTTCTGTACCATTACATGATATTGTCACATATTATACAGGGTTAGAAACTAACAGTTTTCGGCCACTAGTCCTTATAATGATAACATATAGCAAAACCCTTAAAAAGGGCAAATTTCTACTAGTCCTTATGATACCTTTAACATTGGGCAGTTTGGCAAGGCCTATAGGACTAGTGCCAATTTCTAACGCTGAATTATTTACTTCAGAACATTTCACATTTAGGAGATAATAACAATGATCTAATCACAATTCTGTGGATCAAGCTAAATTGAGTGTGATGTCTCCTTTATTATTTCAGGAGAATATTCAGCTGATGAATGTTTGATGTATTAAAGGGTACAGAAATCAGGTGTAGATTCAACTAAAGGGTACAGAAATCAGCTGTAGATTCAACTAAAGAGATACCGGGGTCAGCTGTAGATTTCTCATTAGAGATACTTCTGTTCTTATTGTCTACACTTGTTTCCTGTGTAAATGGGAGGGTGTTAGACTGTGAACATATATGGTACCCAGGATATTACTGCATTTCTTTGTGTATACAATGCACACTCGTGTATAATGTCCACCCCCCAGAGTTCAACTCTTGGGAAATATTATGTTATGTCATGCACAGTCAAACACTACATCATATCACTTCAGCCGAAGGAACAGGAGATAATAAACTTCTGTTGGCACGAATAGTGGAAAACAATATTGAGATGAAACTAATAAGCCAGAAATATTCTGAACACTTTTCATAATCAGAGGGTAGCCTTGTGGGTATAGGGTTCGCTCTTCACGTCGAAGACCTGGGTGTGATTCCTGACATGGGTACAATGTGTGAAGCCCATTTCTGGTATCCCCCGTCATGATATTGCTGGAATATTGCTAAAAGCGGCATAAAACCATACTCACTCACTCATAATCAGAGTCACAACAGATCTGACTGGCTACGTAAGAGAGGAAAGAGGTGGTATCGAATCTCATGGGGGTTGTTGCCTCTTGGCGGGTCCGACTACTTCCGTACAGATTGAGAACATGCTTGCAGGTATAACATGCTGGCGGTAATATCTTTGTGTTGGTATTGTTTGTAATACAATGTGTTCATGCATATTGCACTCCCCAATCAGCTGTATTGTGAAAATATTTGGTAATAATTTACAAACTGGTTCAAGTTTCTTATTGTTATGGGAGAATGTGTGCTGCCCAGGTATTAGTTTTTTTGTTTTTTTTATCTTTAGCAGAAATTAAGTTATCCAACTTTGATATTTACTTTTGGGGCAAAACCTGGAAGCTTTGACTGGAAGCTTTTATACCCTAAAATATATTTTATTGTTAAAATAAAAAAACATATTATGTTAGTTTGACTTTTTTGTTGTTTGTTATTAACGCCACACTGAGCAATTGGGATGCGATGACATGCATCAACAAAGTCAGAGAGCCTGACCACCCAATCCTGTTAGTCACCTCTTACAGTAATCATGGGTTGCTGAAAACCTATTCTTACCTGGATCTTCAGTTCGACTTTTCCTGCATACAATGTTGCCTGATATTATGGTTGTTAATGCATGAAAAGAAACCCTGACTCAGTAGTAGTTGATAGAGATGGGAAGACAGGATGGCTGTGCTTGGTGCAGGGACATAGATGCTTGTTTTTATTTCAAAGGGTAAACCACCTACACATATCCTACTTGACAAGCGGTTACTGCTCTAGTATTTCCTTTTGTCAAATGATTATGCTGCTGAAAACACATACCGGTAGGTTTTATTACCCATCCATGTGTTGCAGATTTTAGTCAACGCACTGTGCTATTGTTGTCTTTCACAGTCACCTAAGTGAAAATTGCTCCCTAAAAGTCTTCGATGATGAATCACTTAACAATTTTTATAATCTCTGGGCAGCTGCTCAACCACAAGACCATGAAAGTCTAGCACCAGAATTTGGTCTGGTAGTAGTGATATGTCACTTGAGTGAGAAATAATGTTTTTCAGATACAGTATTTCATCATAAACAAAAGTAAAACGAATGGGAGTGTGTGCTGGTAGAATGTGATTAGGTGAGGTGTCATGGGATTTGACATCGCATTTATCATAGATATCTTACTCAGTTTAATCCTTTCAATGCCAAGGTGAGGTGAGGTGAAATGGGGTTCTCGCCTACGAACTTTGTGTGTGTATTTCAGTATGTATAATACGGACTTACTATCAGATGCACATACATGACCTCAGTGAAGCCAGTTTTGCGTTCAAATTTGTGGGTTTATTGTGTATGATGTTTATCACCCCAAAGGGACTACAATGTGTCATGTCACTTTAAACTACTGCCAGTATCCCTCAGCAATTAATTTGTAACCCCGGAGCCTTGGCGACAGATAATCCATATTTCCTCGTAATTTGTACTTCTCTCATTACTCATTTGTGATATTCAATATTTCAAGTGTGAGTGTGGCAATTGGGCGTGGTTATCCAACAACTGTAGAAAGTGCCACATTAAGCTAGATCACTGTATCGAATCTTTTAGAACTCTGCTGATCCAAAAACAGGCACGAAAAACACAATTAACAAATGTAATTACGTTTTACTCAAGACACAATGGAAACACCAAACAAGCAATATATTCGTCAACATTTCAGACCCCATATACCCAGTCTGTACACTGTATACTGAAAGGGCAAAGGTGCTACTCATGGCCCTTGAAAGATCTGTCTGCATGCATGATATGGCTAACATGGTCAAAGGAAGGAAATACAAAATAAACTTGTTTCCATTTTCCACTACTTTTACAAAATCAGAAGTAAGCAGATTTGCGGCCCAAGAAAAAGAGCTTACTTTGGCTTCACACATGCTACGATGTGCTCAATCAATTATATGGTTTATACAGGTATAGTATTCACATACCGTATTCGACGTAATAAGCGCCCCACTCTAATAAGCGCCCACGGTGATATTACTAATATATTGGCTAGTGAACAATCCCAATTAGCACCCCTTCCAATTGATCAATGTAAACAAGACTTATTTATTCGTGTATGATACGCACTCTTACTTATGGGCAATTAAATTCTCGAAAATATATCTATCACGAACAGATTCTTCTTTTATATCATTTCAGGCTGTCAGCATAAACCACAAAATTTACAATCTTTCAACTCTGTTTTTTATCTCACCAAAATTATATTCTAATAAGAGCCCCCTTGTTCTAATTTTGAGAGCGCCCTGGGCGCTTATTACGTCAAATACGGTATCATACATCTCATTAATGCATAAACCACTTAGGGAAGGGATATTCAAAGCATAGGAGGCTGCATCAACAGATACTGTAACATAAAACACAATGTGTTTTACATGCTAATATTCCATGTAACATTAGTTCAATACCTAATGGTTGACACCACTGGTCATATCCATCTTATCCACATCTCATTTTGCAAAATAACTAGACATGGGGATAAAACAGCTTGTACATCTAAATGGTAACTAGTCTCAGACTTACAGACCAGTGGCTTGGAACCCGTTCCACAAAGCGATCTTAGTGCTAAGTTGGTCATAACTCCCATACTTCATCATAGG